GTGGTGTTACCCCTATTTCTAACAATTTCGATAGTATGTTCAGTTGGTCTTAATGAGGTTAACTTATATACATTTGTAGGTATAAGTGGGCGGTATCACGCCCATTTTCTAAAGATCCATAAAAATGTTATTTATTTTTAGGCGATTGTTGTATCAATTTTGAATAAATTAGGGTCCTTAAATTTCGAAATATCGAAGTTTCAAGGATTTCTGAAGTTTACCGTTATATGCAAAGTGGGCATAATTTTAGTCCGATTTCAACGTCTTGCTGTTATATGGCAAGTATATTAATTCTATCGGTGCCACGTCCATTTTCCAAATTTACCGTTATATTGGATGTTGGCGTAGTTATTCTGCCTTATCATGAGTTTCTTTTCCCCGAACCGGTTGACTTTTCACTTTTGGTTTCCATGGTTTACTATGGGCGGATGACAAATTTTCGGGTGAATTTTTTTTCAGGCGAAACTCAGGATAAGGCAGATTGTCTGATTTCAAACATTTTCTGCCGTTTGGTATGTTGTACCGAAGCCAACAACTGTGCCAAGTCTGGGAGAAATTAGTGGAGCGATTACCAATATATATGTACACATGGAATCATAAGTGGGCGTGGCTACGCCCAATTTCCAAAAATTTATATTATTCTTATTTTCCGCCTAAAAACCATCGTAAATATCAGTTCTGAGTGAATAAGCTTCAGTGTTACTTAAATATCGTAGTTTTCGTATTTCTGAAAACTACCGTTATATGGGAGGTAGGCGTGGTAATAACCACAATAGTCCGATTTTACCCATTTTATATACAATCCGTCCTACGCTCACACAAGAAGTACACGTACCAAGTTTCGTTACGTTATCTCAATTTTTACTCGAGTTATCGTGTGCACAGACGGACAGGCGCACGGACACGCGATCGTGGCTTAATCGATTTCTTTTTTCGTTCTGAGCATTTATGTATGCATTTGTCTATATCTTTCTCGATTCGTTTTGGCTTTTACATACAACCGTTATTAGTATTATTAAGATAAGTAAACTTATGAGCTATGGCTGCCGTGGCCTTAAGCTAAGTTCTAAATTATGGCTTATAGCTTATAGTATAGTATCGGTTAAATTAAAAAAATATATATTTGCCATCTTTAAGAATTTAGTAATTTTTAAGATATTTTCAACTGACGGATAAGATAATGATTTTAATGGATTCTGGTTATCAAATATTCGTTTTCTATAAGTATGTAGGGGCTGGCATTCTAGTAGTATATGTTGGACTGTAATTTGTGTGTTGAGACTGCAGTACGTACGGGCAGGTCTGGGAGCTATTGTTGTTGAACAGGTATTGCTGGGTAAGATTTGTGTGACATAGTCGGATTCTAATATGATTAGTTATGCCTAACCTGTTCAAAGAGGGGGGTGGTGATTGAAGTTTAAGTAATTCTTTATGTTAAGTTTTTCTGTGTTGTGTTACTTGTACCACTGTGAGGTTCTCATCCAGATTTGATGTGTGCATTCTCTTACGAACAGAGTCTTGAGGAATTTTTTGGTATCATGTGGGTTGCATATTGTGTATACGGGAGATATTGTAGCTAGTTTTGCCATTTCGTCTGCATATTCGTTTCCTGCTATGTTTGTGTGACCCGGGATCCAAATTAAAATAATTTTTGAGGCTGCTTCTTATTAGTCTGGGGTAATATTGGTTGTTTTGAGTATTGTAAATAGCTTTTAAGGAGGACATGGAATCTGAGCAGTTAGCATATTTGCCTCTTTTCGCTTTAAGTATGTTTATCGCAGACATTATCGCGATTATTTCTGCTGTGTATACTGTTGTGTATGGTGGACAATTTGCCATGAGCAATATTGAATTTTCAGTGGTTATGCTTAGACCAATATTGTTGTGTGATAGAGATCCGTCGGTGTAAAAGAATGTTCTGTCGTTTAGCTCACTTTTGAGTCGATTGAAGGTTGCTTTGAATGCTTCTGCTGGTGTTGTGTTTTTGTTGTATTTGCTGAGTTGGAAGTTTATCAGGTTATTTGGTATTGGGTGCCATGGTGGATTCGAGTATTTTATGCGTTTTGTAGGTAAATAGGGTAGGTCGTATTTATTACAATTTGATATGACTTTTTCTACCGTGGATTTGGGTTCTCTGATTCTGTTTTTGGTTTTGTATTGCTTTATGATATTGTACAGAGGTGTGTTGTGGCTATTGATTAAGGTTTTAAAGAGTTTGTTTTGAAGCAATTTAGTCCTTAGCTCGATGGGAGCTATTCCGGACTCGGAACAGGATGTTGTTGGTTGGGGTAGTGCGGAATGCATTTAAGGCTGATCTTAGTCCGGCGTTGAGTAGGGAGCTTAGTTTTTTAAGGTGAGTTTTAGGAGCAGATCCATAAAGGAAAAGGCCGAAATCGATTTTGGATATTAAGATTGATTGTACGATGGAGGTGAGTGTGAGAGTATGGCAGTTGAATTTTAAGCTTGAGAAGCATTTAATAATGTTGAGTCTACGGGCGATGGATTTTTGTAGGTACGTTATATGTGAGTTCCATTTAAATTTATTGTTGAAAACTAGGCCTAGCACTCTTAACTGGTTTACATTTGTAATTAGTTGGTTGTTGCTGTACACTGTACAGTTGCAGTGGTGTTTGCGGCAAATGTGTAGGTGCTGGCATTTTGATGTAGAGAGTGCTGCTCCTGAATTAGTAAGTTTGTGATAGGATTTTTGTTTTTATTGTGTTTGATTATGAGCTGATAATCGTCTGCGTAAGCACAAAAACTAATTTCTTTGTGGAGGCTAATTATGTCACTTAATTTATTATAGGAAATTAGGAAGAGAATGACCGATAGAGGAGAACCCTGTGGTATTCCGTTGCTTAGTGGGTGTATGTCTGAGAGTTCTTTTCCGACGCGGACTATAATTTTCCTGTTACTTAAAAAATTAAGGACATATTTAATAATTTTTGGACCGATTCGCCATTTTGTGAGCTGTTCGATTATTGATTGAATCCCAATCTTGTCAAACGCCTTACAAAAGTCGAGCGAGATGATTGATGCAAGCCTCTTCTTCGAGATGGAGTCGGCAATCAGATGCTCTACACACAATAGAGCGTCAGTTGTCGACTTACCCTTTTTGAAGCCAATCTGGTTATCGTTGATTAGTCTGTTATTGCTAACAAACCACCACAACCTATTGGCTACGATTTTATCCAACAATTTAGCTAGGCAGGAGTTGAGGGATATAGGGCGATACGATTTTGCTAGGGTTTTATTTGAGTTGGGTTTAAGGATAGGGCTGACGACTGAAGTTTTTAAATATTGGGGGATGTATGAATTAAATATATTATTGTACAAGTTGAGGAGTCTCGTTTTTGTTTGTTGGGGGACAGATGTCGAAGCATGGGATAGGAGATACGGTCAAGTCCTGGTGTGTTTCCTTTGAGGCTGTTTACTGCTATATGAAGTTCAGCTAGGCTTATATTTTCTTCGTCTATGGCAGCGGGTGAATTAGGTGTGTTTTTGTATGAGGCGTTCAGTGCTCGTTGCTTGTTGTTGATGAAGTTTTGTGAAAAGTTTTCGTTTGACGATTCATGGGACCAAAGCGACGCCAATTCGTTGGCGATATCTTTTGGGTGTGTTGCTACTTGGTTGATGGTGCTGTGCTTTGTTAAGCAGTGAATGCTGGCGTAGATTTATACCCTGTAAAGGTTTTTATGTTTGTCCAAATTTTTTCTATTGGTGTAGAAGGATTAATCTCTGCTGTGAAAATGAAATTGGCTACTTTGATTTCTCTTCTAAATAGTGCCGACGCTTTTCTAAATTTTATTATGTTGTCTTGGCTGATATTGCGTTTGAGAGTTTGCCAGCATTTATTTTTATTTTCTTTGAGTGCTTGTAGTTTTGCGTTCCACCATGGGACGTTGTGCTTTTGCCTGCTCGGGTTGCTCTGTGGGATTGCGGTATGGGCGCTCTCTAAAATAATTTTCCTAACATTTGCACATTCTTTGTTTACATTTGTAGATACATATCTATCTGACACGGTCATATTCTAGGGTTTTGATGGTGAAAAGTTCCCAATTCGCTTGTTTTATTTTAAATGCTGGTTTGTTTGTGTTTGTGGTGTGAAGTTGTTGGGGATGGATGCTTATTACAATGGGGAGATGGTCACTCCCATGTAGATCCTCTTGTAGTTCCCATTTTGCTGCGATGGCTATATCAGGGCTAGCAAATGACAGGTCAATGTGTGTAAATGTGTTTCTTGTAG